AACCGCTCTGTTACGAGCCTTTACCATGGCTACTGCAGGCATATGCAGTAAGAATGGAAAGGTTTTGGATGTGCAACTAAATGGCTTTTCAGATAAGGAGTAATTCATTCAGAAAGGCTTTAGCAGCTGTGGTTTGGGGTCAGGAGGAACAGCAGGAGAAAAAAATAAAGTCATGTTACAGATATCTCAATTGAGTATATTCTCTGGTTAAACAGCAGAATAGGAAATTCGGCACATTTTGTGCACCTGATGGCAGCTTAAGAGCCTCTGAAATGTTCAGCTCAGTAATCGCTTTTTCCTTTCCCAGGAATGTTTTCAACAGGAGCCGTAGTATCTTAAAGACATGTTATGAAGCAAGAATCAGGCGTGGTTTAGCATTTTTAATGAGAATGAAAGAAGAAAGGGAAGTAGCAGCAAATGTGTTAAGGTGAATACAAAAAGGATGTGCAAAAAGTGTTACAAGATTGAAAAAGAGAAAATCATTTAAATTTGTCAAGTAGAGGATTAAAAAAAGTTTCATCTTAATACCAGCTAAAAATGGCCTTTAAGAGCATATTTTACTTTGGCTTCAATTTAAAATTACCATGGCATTTTCTGGATGTCTGGATAAATAGAAAGGTATATGCAATCTCACCAATTTCCACCTTGGTTACATAGAGCTTTGTGAAACTGTGTGGAATGTACTCAACTATTTGCACTTTGAACAGCTGGAAATTATTACATAGGATGCAAGACATGAATAAAAAAACCCAAAGCTGACCCTATATGCATTGAATTTTTTAACAGATACTAGGGGGGAGTTTATTAAAAGGGATATTTCACCTATATTTGAACAAGGAAAAAACTCTTGCAAATCAATTTAGGACATGACAGCAACAAACCTGTAGGTGTAGAACTTCAAAACCAATTTTCAACATTTTACAGGAGATTGCAACAGTGCTAGTGTACAAAGATTTCAAAACAGGTAGAGCCCAGTAGTTTAATGGAGAACAAGTAGCATAAATCCTCAGAAAGGACGTGTTTGAGCCAATTCTCCTGTTATAAGCAGAGTAGTGGCACCCTGGGAACATTTGTCTTGATTCACCTCATCTGTGACTGATCCAAGGATCATTGGGTTTAGGAGCCATTTTTATGCCAGCAGGACTGGTCAAAGAGCTCTGCACACTTTCAAGTTCGCGTCACGGCACAGAGGAAAGAAGCACCCATATCGCAAGCTTAGGAAAGCAATTACAGGTGGGGTTTATTTTTCAAAGCAGGAAGTGCTGGGTTGTTTTGTAATGAGTGGTTTTAGTCATTTTCTTCATCGCTGGACTGGAATCGTTGCCTGCTTTTGTAATATATGTTAGCAAAATGACTTCATTCTTTCCTGGGCCTCCTATTGTTTTTGTGTTACATGTCTTAGCGACCAAAATTAGATTATCATTCTCATGGTGCTGCATGAAACAGGATTTAGGAAGTGATTAGGTAAATTCATGAGGGGAAAAAAAATCCATTGAAGGCTATTAAATACAAAGATTGCTGGAAGTTACGCTGGTGACTGACTGCTGGGGGCTGTCCTTTTCTTTTGACTGTCCTCAGGCAACTATAATTTCCGACAGGATATACTGCGTAGAGGGCAGCTGGTCTGGTCCAATTCTGAAGATATATTAAAAAAAAAAAAAAGGAATGCAGTGATCAGGACTGCTTCCAGTTCTAGTTCTGAACTCTGCCAAGCACAATGTCGTCTTATTGTCAGGTCACCCTACATTTTCTTGGAGTAAACCTCATTAAAAACACTGAGGTTTTGATGCATGTTGGATTTCCTTTGAAATAATCCAAATTCCTTTTCTCTTTTTTTAAATCTTGCCTTTTGAAGAGGCAGGTTGCAGTATGAGTTTGCTCCCAGTGCTGGCAGAAAGGGCTCACCCCACCTCCCGCTGGTCCCTGGGAAGGCTTCTGTTCAGCTCACCTGGAGGAACTCCTCTATGGCGACCCCTTGGAGCCCATTCCTTGCACAGAGGATGGCCCACCTCCTGTGGCTCAAGATTTCCAAATCCCTCAAGTACATTGCACTGTCATGAGCTAAGTTCCTCCACTGTGGAGGAAAAAATACAGTTTGGGTGACTTGACCATATTTAGGTTGTATTAGTGCCATAGAGAACTGCCAGCGGATCATGAACTGTTGGATCCATTGAGTTGAAGGCATCCATTTACTCCCATTGAAAGATCTGACCCTCCAACTTTTAGATACTTTTAAGGATGGCAGTTGAGAATTTTAGGGGGGTTTATTGCTGTCCTAGAAATGACTTACCTTACGAATTTAGAAAAGAAAGCTAGACACGTGTTTTCAGGATTGGAATGCATTTTACATGCTGCTTTTTGGTTGGATCCTACCTGAGACTCCTAAACCTCAATTTTCAGAGCTAATGAGAAACTGCAGAGTTTACTTTGGAATTGTGAATACTGTGTGCAGCAGCAGAAAAATAATCTCTGTTGGCAAAGATGCGGATGCCCCAAATTGACATTCACTTCTGAAAAAAAAGGCTTTTAACTTTGTGTCTCAATTTACCGATGCAATATGATCTGTCTTGTAACGGATATTCTGGTTGGTTATGAACAGCTTTGCAATCTTACGTGCAGCAAGTAAAGCACTTCAGTTGGTTAGTAATAGTGGCTTAGAGCCCACTTAGAGCTTAGAGTTTGGATCAGAACGTGTCAAAACAGAAAGAGTGAGGGTTTGCATCCAAGGTTTAGTTTGGCCCAAATACAAATCCAGTATTTTGACTGAAGCTCATCTTTAATTATCATCAAAAGTATGTTATGCTTGTTTAATCAAGAGCTTAATATTTTGGATATAAAGGTGCTTTGGATACTTACTTCAAGAGGCTCATGTTCAAGCTTAAAGTACCCTGTCTTTTAATTAGGGTTTCTGTTACTATCTCACCCAAACCCTGGCTTTTATTGTATCATGAAACAAGATCCTCCACTTAGGAACTGTAACACTGAGATAACTTCTCCAAGATTTAAAAAAAAAAAAAAAAATTAAATGTAAGTATAACAAATTCAGGTTTTTTATATTACCAGTATCCAAGGCTGACTGAAGATTTCCTTTATTCCCTGCCTGCTGTTACATTTTAAGCCCAGGAACTGTTCTTTATCGCAGACGCAAGTGGGGTTTGTCACACGTATTTTGCTTCTTAACTGCATTTGCTTTGCTGACTTCTGGTATTCATGTAAATGCTAGCTTGCTTAAGCTTTAGGAAGTGATATGTTTGGGATGGTTATTACCACACTTGTCATTTAGTGTCACTCAAGGACCTTTTCCTTACACACTCTGAAGCAGATTCACTACCCCTCATAAGAATTGCAGGCAGCCTCCCTGTGGCCGTCTTGCATGCTCACAAATCATCTTTCTCACAGTGGAGATTGTTTTAGCTACTTCCCCTAATACATTTCAGGTGTAATTACGCTATGATCAATATGTTTTAGATGTTCCACAACCTCACATTACTTTTTCAATACTTGGCTCACTTCCTAAATTAGTCCAAAGCAGCCTCTGGCTGATGAAGAGGCTTCAAGAAACTGCATTAAAAAGCAATTTTGAAGTTTGTGTGAGGGTTCAATGGCTAAAGAGTTAATACACACTTCAGGGATGAACGTAATTTTTGAGATGAGGGTCCCTCTGAGGCTTTGTGTCTCGCTTGCCCTTCATTAAAAGTGTAATTCCCTGCATTGGTCCGCAGGTAGTTGGTTGCTTTCATGGCTTGCGCGGCGGCTGCGCCAGGGTGTCTGAAAAAAGCGCCAGCCGGTGCCCGAGCGTCTGCTCTGTCTCGTTAGCCTCCAGATAAACTCGGCCAAACTGGGCCACGGGGAGAAGCTTCCTCCCTTCTGCTGGAGGTTACCACCCCTGCGGTAAGGTCAGAGCTGAACACGTGCTGCAGCCGTTGCCGTGCAGAGCCGAGACTCTTTATTAGCCTTTGTGGCCAGGAAGGGGGGGTGAAAGGGCTGCATGGGGGGAGTGGGAAAGAACCACCTGGCATTTCAACAATCCAAGCCTGAGATCTGTGTCCTGGTCTCGGGAGAGTGCTTACTTGTGCAAATACTTGGTAATCCAATTTCACCAGCGACGATCCTGGGGTCAGCGACATGCCGCGGCAAGTCTTGGGTTTCTGTATCTGCTCTCAGCTCCTGTGTATCCTGACACTGGCTCAGTTGGAAAGAAAAACTAAATAAGGGGACAGTAGGGAATTTGAGGGAAGCTGGGCCAATGCTCCAAGCTGGAGTATCTCTGAAATTTTAGCACAGAACTGTGAGGTTCTTTGGAAAAGGAAGATTCTGGGATTTCTATGTTATTCACCTTTGCCTCTCTGATTGTCTCGAAGTTTCATACGTGGTATCAAGCCACTAAAAATAAAAAAAAGGACTTTACTGGCCAGCTCATCTGTTTACTCTATGGAGAGGGTCTGTGCCAGTGCGGTGGGCAGGCATGCCTCTGTACTGCTGGGGCTCCTCGGGCTTCTCGGTGCATATTGGCATCCGCGGGGGCTGTACGTAAAAGCCCCTAAGCATACAGAAACATGTTTGCAGAGCTGAACCTTTCACAGCTGCCTGAAGAGATCCTTCCATTTTCTCTCCCGTTTGGTCAGACCCCCTCCTCCTCCCAGCCTAACAGTTTAAAATGAAAACAACTTGCTCCAGGCAGTAGAAGCTAGACCAGCTATTCTGATGTAAATAAAGCTGAGGGAAGAAAATATCTGTTTTAGAGATGAGTCTGACAAGCACTAAGTAAAGAAACAGTTTCGTCCGTTCCCGCTGCAAAGCGGCAATTTCTGCTCCATTCCTTGTATGAACTCAAGGCCATTTGAGCATGGAAAAGTAGATTGGCCTTTTGTTGCATGATCTTTTGTATTGGCAGGAAGCTTGGGAAAGGTAAACGGAAACACTTATTTACATATTCTCATTTCTGTACCTTCCTACTAACAGGTTTTCACAACAGTCTTCCCATGCCTGTCTTGATGCTTCTATATTCAGAGAATGAAAAGATGGATGCGGACTCCCATGGCTAATCTTTACACATGTAGTTTTATTCCCTTCACAATATATTTTTGCACAAACTCAAGCAGCTTTTCTTCAGGAGGTGGCCTGAAGGCTATGTTTAATGACAAATAATAATCACTGCACACATCTCTGGACTACATATTGTAGTACATATACATATGTATGCATATGTAATGCATACACATATCAATCTGGGCTACATATTTGTAATAACATAAGTTACTCAGTTCAACTGTGTAAGACAAATAGCTATATTACTGAAATATCTGTAAATACCATTAGTAACATATTTCAGCTGAGAAAGCATAACGTTACAATTCCTGTCTTTCTCCCGTTAGAGTTTATTTAATAGTCTGGTTTCATACTATGCCGTCTGTGCTGCTTCTGTTCGGAGCCTGTTCAGAGCAAGGCAAACACCAGCCAAATTTAAATTTACCCAGAAACATGACCTCATGTTTCACACTCGAAAAGTGACATTTGAAAGGGCAGAAGCAACTTGTAGTTTCACAAACATTTTACAAGTTGGAAGACAGTATTATTTGTGTAGGAACAGAAAGGTCTGGCCTTATTCTTCAATGCTGAGGGTGTGCCATAACTTTTTCACACTTTCTACCTTGTTTACGCATAGGACACTGCAGGGAAGTGGGCTAAATGAACTGCCTGGACAAGGAAAATGTCAAAAATAATTAGGAAGATATTAGGGGGGTGTTGTTCTAATGTTTGGACTATCAGTAAAAATAGATAAAAACCTCTGGCAGAAGCGTGATTTAAATCAGTGTTCTTCACGTTCATTTCCAAACTACTGACAGGGAAAAAAATTCAGATCCTTCTTAACTGAAGAATAATTTCCCCACTTTCAGGAAGGCTGTGTTCGTATAACTTCATTAAGCCAGAAGGCAAAGCTCATGGATTTTCATACAGTTTTCCTTCTGTTCAATTTCTGTTCTTTTTTCCTGAGCACCCAGTGATGCTGGGGATACTGGATCGACTGAGGAGGTGAAATTCTAGTCTGCGGGCTAAAAGAAGTGAGGGACTTGTCTGTTGTCCTCAGTATCGCAGCAAATTAGAAATTCCTCCCACTACTCACCTACAACTTTTCAGTTATTCCAATAATTTTAGAAGTGTGTCTGTAAAGCCACAGCTGCCTGAAGTGCAGCCTATACACTTCTATTTGAATTTACTTACTGAGCTCTCCGTCTAACAAATGGAAAAACTGAAGTAAATATTTTCAATATGAAATTTAAAACTTCTCTGAAATAAGCCCTAAAGAAGCTTGGCTTCCTGAATAATTTCTGCTAAAATTTGTCATCCATACAAGGTTATTTAATCTGAGTCAATATTAAAAAAAAAAAAGCCAGGAAGATGAAAACTGTCATCTAAAAAGTGAAACTGAAGTTCTGTGAGGGCTGCATTTCCAAATACCGTTATTTTTATTGGAATGGGTAAAGCTTAGAATATGGTAATGAAAGCTTGGAGGGGGTTTTGCCAAGATTTTGACTTAACTGCTTTTGATCAGCAACATTTTCTCAAAAGCATTTAAAAAAGCAGCCCATGTAACTACATGAGCACCAGCAATACATTTTCTGCCTTCAGTACTGTGACCCAATCAGCTAGACTTAAGACAAATAAAATCTTTAATGCAGTCGATACAGGTTTTGTTTGAATGCCATGTGCTGAAACTGCTCAGCTTTAACTGGGGGAGCTCCAGATGTACGCACTGCCAGCCCTATGAGTGATAGCCCTTATTTTTATAATAGGATTGTTGCGTTTATCACTCCAGCTACAGTGATCCTAAGCACTTCTGCTTTAGAAAAGGCAGAATGTATTAAACAAAGGTGAAAAACTATTAATAGATTACTAAAACTGCACATCTACAGATTTTTAAGAGTTGAAAAACCGAGTAAAGCTCTTCTCAACAGTCGTTTAGTTTCACAACCTGTATGCTCCTACGTACCATCTCGTGCAAGTGGGAGTATTGTCAGGTTCTATGAGTCTGAGAGAGAAATGTTACCTACATGGAATATAATCAATGCACATCACGTACAATAGCTATAATAAAGGTCTCTGTAGCAACATTAAGAACAGTTATTTTTAAATGTTCTACCTTAGCCTCACATTCATGTTCTTTTTAAATGCAGTAGTTAACTGTTTCCACTGCAGGTGCTGCTGCGAGCTAGTCATCCAGCAAAACTCCTTTGTCCAGTCTTGAAAAGATGATCCTTGCCTTGTTTTTCTGCAGATCGCTGCAGGCTTGCTTTCCTTTGCAGTCAGTAAATATCCACTAAATATTGCATAATTATTTATCGACACACAGCTGGTCTGGAAAATGAACCTGGAAGAGCCCCCTCTCCTCTTGGGAGGAGGAGGAAGAGGCACGGGAGTAGAAAGGATCTAACGAGGAAAACCCGAGCAGGCTGTGGCTAAAGATCCCTCAAACTGGTAGCACACAAGCAATGGAAAAAGGATAGAAAACAAGAGGCTGGGGAGGCACATCATGCACAGGAGCGGGGCTGGGGGAGGCAGGGTTAGCAGGTAAGGTGGTGAGGAGGTGGAGGAGGAGGAGGAAGCTGGAAGGCACCTCCTCAAGTCGCTGCCACAGGCGCTGCCGCGGAGGAGCGGCTGCAGGAGCAGAACTTGGTTAAGAGAGGAAGAACAACGGAATACAGTTGGGTTTATCTCAGGGATCAGAAATGGCTGCTTCTGGAGGAGGAGGCGGAAGGACGATAGTATTTTTCTGAGAAGCAAAGCAGCGTGTGGGTTTTTCTTGCATACCCCTCCTTCAGACCTGGTTCCCCAGAGTTTCATCCCCTGCTGATTCCAGCCTAAACAGCGAGTTAAGGCTGGCGTGAGTTCCCAGACCTCCTCATACCCGACATTATTCTTTGTTATTTCAGGGTAGCCCTGTTGCTTTCCCCTGGTTTCTGACCCCTGCAGAAGGCAAAGCAAAATGCAGATTTCAGGCAGGTAAAGCAGGCAGAGAGCAGGTAAGCTCAGCCCTGTGCTTGGCGTGGTAGTGGGGCTTTGTTTTGGGAAGGAACAGGAAGCCCTTTTTCACTGTCAGCTTCTTAAGAGGCAACCAGCAAGGGCCAATAATAGGAATAGTTTATACACTGCCATACACAGGAGTGATATAGGAGTAATAGAGGCATATACTGCAAAACTCTTGGATTTCATTAATAATATATAAATACACATGCTGGGTAAAAAAAAAAAAAAAATCCTCCTAAGTTTGTTAATAGACTTCTGAGAGGCTAATCTTTGTTTCATTGGCTTAAATGCTTAAAACGTAGTCTGGCAATACTGTTTGTACCATGCAGAAATTATCTACTTTGGTGGGAGCACAAGAGCGAACTCGTCTGTTATGCACTCTGTGAGTATACCCACGCCTCTGCTCGCTCTCTGGAGCAGCTTCGGCACAAAGGATGTCAAAGGCAGGAGAAGAGAATCGCAGGTAAACCTGTATAAATTACATGGTCAGAAGGATGGCAGGAAGAAAATGAGTGGGGTTTTGACAACAGGCTTTGTCAAGAACAGGGTGCCCATGGGTAGGTAAAAGGAGTGAGCTCCATCCCATGCTCAATCTCTTCAAGGGAGACCAGAGGTCTTTAACAGAGATGCATTTGTGCAACAGAATTGCCTGGGGTGGGGGGAGCAGGTGTATTTGGGGGTTCCTCTCTTTCCATTCTATTAGGAAGGGAGCACATACTTCTTCAGCTAATTACAGCTCTGTTCTGGATGGCGACTGTCTAGGAAGTTCTCCTTCTTCAGGACTATATCCCCCTTTCGCTTATACCCTACACTTTTTACTGAGAAAGCCTGGGAGAGAGCCTGTCGATGGCAGTTTGGCCAAGCTGCCGGTATCTCTAGGAAAAGGGCGGCAGTCAGCAGCTACGTGAATGCTTAATGTCATCGGCAGGGCTACTAGCCAAGGCGGAGGGGGGAGGGGGAGGGGGAAAGTATCTGAAGATTTAGGACCAACTGCAAGGTCTGTTCAGGATCTGTGCCAAGGAGCAGCTGGACAGGCTGCTAGCTGAAGCCTGTTGCACCACCGTGGTTCATAACCAAGGTAATTGTCTGTGTTTGATTTTAC